AAAGGGTCCATACTTGGTCATGATCTCGGTGAGAATGGTGCCATACCCTTGTTCTGACAGAACAACTGAAAGGTCAACTGTCTCAGCGATCTTCCGAGGTGCACTCCCATCTGTAAAACTCTGCAACAACTTGATTCCCCAACGTGTCTTAGGAACATTGTTGTCCAACTCCCAATAACTCAACTGACGCAACCATGGTCGAAGAGTCTCAACACTTCCGTTCCAAGTGGGGATCGACTTCTTGTCACCGCTCAAGGCGGCAGTCAAGGCTTTCAGCATGAGTTCATTCTGTTGAGCTGGAGTGGATGGAGTTGTTTGTGAGGAAGGCATGGATCCATTAAAAGGCTTGCCAAACAACTCAAAAGCACTACCGACAGTCCTCGTTTGAGGTGGTGGGGATGCGTTTGCATCGAGGTGTTGAAGCCAGTTCCCGGCCAGTCCACTGCTACTTCCACCGAGAGGTGCTCCTGGAAAAGTACAACCTTGTGGCATAGCTCCTTGGGAGGTCGGTCCAAAAGCTGTTCCATTTCCTGGAGAGACTGAAAACATTGGGCTCATATTCGACTGAAGTCGACGGTCACCCGCAGCGCCTTGAACTGTGCCCCGGACGGATGACCCGGTGGCGGTGCCGTCAGGCGTCAAGGTCTGCGGTGCTCCTTGAGGCCCCCCCTGAGTACATAGGCTGGTGTGCAGCAAAAACCTGGCCACTACCCATCGACGGTTGTCCAACAGAAGTTGCAAACGACTGTGCACCCATGGGAGATTGGAAGGGCGGTTGCATGCTTTGATACCGACTCCACGGATCAAGACCAGCAGAACACCAGGGGTCCATGGCAAAGAGCGCTGGAGCGATCCCAACGCTCCGCTACCGCTGATTAGACCAATCAGTGGAAGCAGAACGAAGGGACCGACCAAGGAACTAGGATCTAACAAACCAATCACTGAGGAAAACACCGAGGTCTCGTTCGACTCTCTCGGTCGGCTAACATCTTTTCCAGCGCTCAAGGCGCCTAAGAGTTCGTGGCCGCGGAAGTGAAGGAAAGTGTACAAAGGCTCAACTTCGGTTCATCATGCATCGCCGGCCAAAGTCACAGGAACATCACGTCATCCTGTTGTACCAACGAAAAGATTAGTTGTCAACCCAACGACATGGTTCACATCGTCCGTCGATGGTTCTTGCTGCGTCTGACATCGTTCCTGTTGGATGATACAGTAAGTCTCAGCATCAATTTTTTGCGCTGGACTCTGTTGCTAAACGCGCCTGGATTCTGGATCCGCATCGTCTTGCGGACACGAAGCCAAACAAACCGCAAGACTGACTGACTACTTCGTTTCCCAACACCGCACGGCCGCACGGAAGCCGGCCTCCGGGATCTCAGAGGCCTGTGGACCCACGGCTCGGCGTGACCAGGAACACGATCAGAACACGCATCAGATTAAATCCAATTCATTCATCCTCCATCACCACATGCACCAAGAACATCCTCCAAGAACACCAGTGAACAAATCCAACTAACTGGCTACACATATTGCCACTCTTGACATCCAAGAGCTGAAAGATGATACCTGGGATTATGCCCAAACCTTGAGGTAAGATCTTCATGTCAAATCCGATGGTTTGCTCAAGAAGGTGATCTCTTGGACAAATATGGACAAATTTTACGTAGGGACCCAAACAGTAAGACCCCAAACAGTTTGTGCCTTTATGAGGTAAGCTTCTGGGTTTGTTTCAGCCCTGCTCAAGGACAGGACCCGCAATTCAGACGAAAACAGAACTTAACAGAACATATGCTAATCTACTGAATATGCTGAGTTGTACTGACATGTGGCTTTGTCATGCTTTGTTGAGTTTAAAAGACCCACCATGAAGGTGACAAATGTTGTAATCAGTTTGGCAATGGTCTGGCCAAGAGTATCTAAACAGGGAGCCAAGCAAAGAGACAAGTGGAGTGGAGACAAGTGTAAAAGCGCGTGGCCAAGCGTATCGAGAGTAGGGCGAAACAAGTGAAAGACAAGCGTAGTCAAATGGGACACGAGTATAAAAGCATCCGGCCAAGAGTATCTAAGCAGGGAGACAGGCAAAGAGACAAGTGGAGACAAATGTAAAAAACATCCGGCCAAGTGTATTCAGAGTAGGCCGAAACAAGTGTGAGACAAGCGGAGACAAATGGGACGGGTGTAAAAGCATCCGGCCAAGCAATTAAACGACTGGAGGCAAGTGCAAAACATCCGGCCAAGTGTGTCTAGAGGTGGTCCGACGCAATTGGGAGACGAGTGGAGACAAGTTGGCCAAGAGTGTCTAAGCAGGGAGACAAGCAAAGAGGCAAGTGGAGACAAGTGTTAAAACATCCAACCAAGCGTATCCAGAGTAAGCCGAGACAAGTGGAGACAAGTGCAAAAAGGGAAACAAGCAGGGAGACATAAAATCATCCGGCCAGCAGGGCCCGAGACAAGTGGAAGGCAAGTGTACCAAGTGTAGACAGACAAGTGAAAAAATCATGCGGCCACAGCAATCACAAGCGATTGGAGACGAGAAACATGGGAGACAAGTGAAAAATCACAGCTGCAGCGCCTTGGCAGGGACTGGAGACAGTGGGAGACAAATGGGAGCGGCCACAGCACCCGCCAGGGACTGGAGACATTATATTTCATTAAATTGCACTTTAGGCCTTTAAATTTGAATTGATTTTTTCGTTGAGCGCCTTTCAGCACCTGCTTGGTTATGGCGGTGTGCGCCTTCTAGGGTTGGAGCTTTCACAATGGCTTTGATGACATCAAGATTTTGGAGAACATAGAATAGTTTTTCTTTTTCTTGCGTGCTCCAACCCCAGAGCGCGCTTAAAAAACTCGGCAGCTGGCCGTGGGAGCGCTGGGTCTTTTCGCCGCGCCAGAGGGTTTGCTCCTTGTGCATCAGCGACGCACAATGCCTTGCACTTGTCGTATTGCTCTGCAAACATGTGCAGGAAGGACTTCTTTTTTCCCGAATGCACCTGCGAAGGGTTTCTTCCAAAGGACATCTGCCTACATCATCTTCCAACACTACTATCACATCATCATCATCATCATCGTCATCATCGTCACCGTCATCGTCCTACGAAAAAACACTTCTAACACTTCGATTCGACTGCTATGTAAGTTTCTTTCTACTCTTAAGGCGACGGGCAGGTCCGGCCGGAGCTCGCGAAACGTGACCCTCTGCGAGGATCGCGCGCGTCGAGTGCTCAAACGTGTGGTGAAATGTGGGCGCGGGTGACCCTCTGCGAGGATCGTGCGTGTCGAGCGCTCAAACGTGTGGTGAAACGCGAATTTTGAATGGGCGCGGGTGACCTTCTGCGAGGATCGCGCGTGTCGAGTGCTCAAACGTGTGGTGAAATGCGAATTTTGAGTGGGCACG